GCCCAGCGTCTCTGTCACACACTGCTTTACCCGGGGAGCAGAGCACATCGACCAGCTCATCAGGACAAGAAGGGGGCAAGAAGGCAGAGGGCCAAGGATTCAGGAGCTGGGCAAGGGGTGGAGAGGACAGCCGGAGACCGCCCCCAGGCTCTTCTGTCCCATTTACCTCCTCCCTGGGGTTCTTCTTGTCGTTGTCGCCTTCCACCCGCACCCGGACAACGCCTGACTTGTCCACGATCTCCTGGATGACTTTGCCGTTCTTGCCTATCACCTTCCCTGCAGCAAAATGAGAGCAAAAGATGAAAAAAGGTGGATCCGTCAAGGTCAAGCTCAGGCCACTGCTTGCCTGGGGGGCTCACCCCAACCACTGGCACAGTTGCAAGGCCAACGATGGTTAACTGGAGGCCCCGCCTAACTTGCCCAGAGGGAAACGGTCTACCACCAGGAAGGGGCATGGCAAGCAAGAGAACCCGGGAGTCTCCGGGACGAGGATCGGGTGCAACGAAGCCAGAGGGACCGTTTCATGTCACGGGTTGGCCTCTGTGCCAACCGGTCCCTCACCATCTTGGTTTCACACACGTTATGTCGTGCCCTTCAGTCTAGCACAACCCTAAACACGGCTGGAAGTTGCCTTGAAGCTCAGCTCTGCCGCCCCCCCGCCCCCCCGCCCCACTGGGTCCTCGGCACAGCATCTTCCCTGCTGTGCATGCAGGCCAGGACTGGCTCCCCACTGCCAGGGGGCGGCTGAGGGGCTTCAGCATGTTTGTCCTGGGGGGGGGGGAGATGCCTCGCCACTCACCCACAAGGTTGCGGGGGACCTGAACAGAGTCTTCGGAGAACTCCAGGAAGCTTCTGGCCTGCTTGCAGGCTTCCGGGGTCTAGGGAGGAACAGAAGGGCGCGGGGGGGAGGGGGGGGATGCCTTCATGTTCGGCTGCTGGCTTTGGAGGCAGCCCCCTCTTCGTTCCTGCTCCCTTCCAAGGCGTCTCTCACCCTCTGGATCTTTTCGGATCCCAGAGATCTGCATCCTTCTGCTCCAGCTGTCCAGCCCAGTCCAACAGGAAGGCTGGCTCCACTCACGAGGCCGGCCCTCACCTCCCTTAGCGCCCAGACTTCACACAAACCCCCGTAAAAGAAGTCTCACTGGATTGCCCCTCACCTCCCCGTAGATGCGGAAGGTGCAGGTCTCCTCGTCCAGCTCGATGGCGGTGACCCCCAGCACTTTGCGGGCCTGCTGGATGTTGGCCCCGTGGGTGCCAATGGCCAGGCCCATCAGGTCCTCGCGCACCGTGAACTCCTCCTGGAAGGCTGAGGCCAGCTGCTTGCTTGTCTGTGGGAAGAGGCAGACGCACGGCGTGAATGGGGCGCACCCCAGACAACACAACAAGCCCCATCTGTTGGAAAAACCAACCGGCAGAGCCTCAGGAGCAGCCACGAGCCTTTCACCTCACTCCCCCCACCCCCCAGGGGGTCAACGGGAGGTGAGCCATCCTTGCCTGCAGTGGGGTGAGAAAGATGCCCTGCATTGGCTATCTGAACCAGGATTCTAGGGACGCAGGCACTGCCCTCCAGGTCTACCCTGGCGTCCAGGAGACCCGTGGGCTCTGCTCTTCAAGGTGCTTTAACGCTCTCCTGCACCCCACCCGACCGCTGCACTGTGGGGGGGAGGGGGCCCTCTTGTACCTCCAAGTGCTTGTTGGCTTCCTCGTTCCGCGACATCAGCATCAGCTTGGTCCGGATGCTGCGGAGATGCATGTCCCCCAGCAGAGATGCCCTCTTGACGGTGGATTCGTTTGTGGACTGCGACAAAAGGACAGGCGTTGGGAAACTGTCCTCTCCTGGCCAGCAGGAAAAACAGACTCCCCTCGCCCACCCCACCGGCCCTCGAGTGGTGATTCGTGACTCTCTGGCAGGAGGGTTACAAAGCCAGGGGAGAAGAGGAGGCCCTGCTTTAACCTCTGCAGGATGTGAGAAACGCCACAGCACAGTCCGTGGCTCAGCAATGCTACGTACTTATGTATGGGGGGGAAATAAACTTGACTACTACCTTTGATGGAAGTGACACACATCCTGACACATGGGATATTCGTTACCAAAATAATTTGGAAAATCTGTGCAGTTACTATCCATGGCCCATTATACAAACTTTTAGCAACTGCAAAGCATATGAGAAAGCAACACCTGGCTCTAAGACAAACTGTTTATACATTCATTTCTGGATGTGTGTTATTGTACAATAGGAATATTGACCACTGAGGAAGGCCAGAAGGGGCCGAAACGCGTATGGTCTATTGGTCAAAAGTTTTACCCATCAATTAGACATGTATAACTAGCAGCTCTGAATGCTATAAGCTCTAAGACTTTGGACTATTTCTTTTAACCTTATGTATGTTTTATTTATGTGTACACCATAATAAATATTTGTATTTTTATAAGAATTTATTTGTTAGCTTGACCCTCTTAGATCACGGCTACATTTTGGGTTGAGTCCCCCCCCCTTTTCCCTCGGGAAAATAAACCTATCCAGTGTAACATGGCACCCCAGCATTTTTCTTGGGAAGGGGGAAGTAGCATGGAGTTACTTTGAAAGCAGGCCCTGGACAATACAGAAGTGTGAGACCCACCGCCATCCTCCACAGTTTGAAGCCTAAGCCTGGCGGGGCCAATCCAGAGTGACCAGGCCCAAGCGGGGTGGGGTGGGGGACACACCAACTAGGCCCCAACTCAAAGCACAAGAGGAAATTAGAAGGTTTGCCAGGACAGGAGATCATAGAGCTAAAGGAGCAGTCATGAAAATGGACAGATACTGAAGATGTCCTGTTGTCAGGCTTTTGCCTGGTTTAAACAGGCTGTTCATTTAAATGAAAATTAATGAAAACAATAAATGAACATCCTGGGGGGAACAGTTGCTCTCAGCTGTGAGTGCGCGTCCAGGAAGCAATGACTGCTATCCTTGGCACTGGGGAAAGGACAGCAGAAAATGAGACACTTGATATATGCAAAACCCCTCCCAAGAAATTTGGAGATTTCAAAAAAAGAAAAGAAAAAGGTATGTTAAAAGTTGGATTGCCATATAGAGCCTGGACACTAGAGGGCAGTGGAGAGCTGGATTTCCCAAGCACAAGTTACAAGGGAGGGGAAGGAACCGCCCACCACCACCTTGCAGAACTGTTGGACCAAAACTTCAGCTGAGACTCTTCAGCCAGAATTGCCTTCTCTCCCTCCCCCCCCCCCCCCCCCGTCTCCCCAGAAGAGGTTACGGTTCTTACGAGGATGACTAGTTCGTTGCTGGTGGAGCTGAGGAAGATGCTGTTTGCACCCACGGCCTTCTTGAACTCTTTATGTACGTTTTCATTCGAGCAGCTGTGAGGAAGCAAGAGAGTCGGGCCATTTTTAGGTGCCCCAAACAACAGCGGCATCTGCCAAAGGCTTGGAAGCTAGTTTGGGAAGGGGCTAATGCCGCCCAGGGCAATCGTGTTCCCTCCCGCAAAGCTCTGGACCTCCCCCCACCCCCCCAGTCCTCATTTCCATGCTGCCCCTGCCAAGGAACTTCTTCTGCCTCAGGAGACGGGCACACGGGGCAAGCAAAACTCAGCTCACGCAGATCTGACACATCCTGCCACCTCCCGCACATAAACTTGTGGCGGCATGACCCCGTCTCCACAATAAAACAATACACGTTGCCAGTAGATGGCAAAATCAGCAGACACGAGACAAGCAGCCACCTTAATGGTGGTGGAGAGCGCCATCCAGCTGCAGCTGATTTATGGCATCCCCATAGAGTTACCCAGGCAAGAGACGTAAAGAGGCAGGTTGCCGTGGCCTGCCTCTGTGTCACGCCCCTGGACTTCTTGGGTGGCCTCCCATCCAAGTACTGACTAGGGCCGACTCTGCTTAGCTTCCGAGATCTGACCAGTTTCGGCCATCCAGGTCAGGACAGCAGCCTTCACATCTCTTATATATTCTTTGCAATAATATCAGTAAAAACCGCCAGAACAATTTTTTTTTTTTAGGCTATGCAACACAAACAGGAGGCTAGGCAGACACGTCCCCCGCCCCCAGGAATTTTCAGCAGAGTCCTCCAGAAAAGCCAACTGGGCACCGGGCAAAGGGCCGTGAGTTGAGGGGCCATGACAGAGAAGGGCTCTAGACCAGGGAGGGGACCCCCAACCCTTTTCAGCCTGGGGCCACTTTTGGAATTCTGACACATGGTGGCAGAGTCAGGGACAGGGGTCATGCACAAATCTAACAGTGACTCTTCCAGGCAGAAGTGCTGCTTAACAGGATGCCTTTTAAAATGAGCATATTGTTTAAAGATATTTTCTTGCATTCACACATCTTATCTTCAAGCACACAGTGACGATCATAGAATGACAGAGTCGGAAGCGGCCATACAGACCTTCTAGTCCAGCCCCCTGCCCAATGCAGGACTAGCCTAAAGCATCTCTGGCAAATATTCCTCCAGCCTCTTCTTGAAAGCTGTCAGTGAAGGGGAGCTCACCACCTCCCTCAGCAGCTGATTCCACCTTTGAACCACTCTGACCATGAAAAAGTGTTCCCTAATATCCAGCCAATACCTTTCGGCATGTAATTTAAACCCGTTGCTTCGGGTCCTCTCCTCTGCTGCCGACTGGAACAGCTCCTTGTCCTCCTCCCAATGACAGACTTTCAAATATTTACAGAGAGCAATCATGTCCCCCTTCAATCTTCTCTTCTCCAAACTAAACATTCCCAGGGCCCTTAGCCTTTCCTCGTAGGGCTCAGTCTCCAGACCCCTGATCATCCTCATTGCTCTCCTCTGCACCCTCTCGATTTTGTCCACATCCTTTTTGAAGTGAGGCCTCCAGAACTGCACACAGGACTCCAGGAGCTCTTCCACCAGGCCTTCGATTAGGCGCCGCCACTGAACGAGCTACTGAACATCTATTACTGGCACTTTCTTTGGGACAGTCATATGGGGCCAACTACAACGATCGCCATCTGCACTTTATTGTTTGTATGTAATCTGCACTTTATATTTTATTGTTGAACTTTATCTGTTTGTATTGTAAATTATTACTGTACGCCGCCTTGAGCCTGCTTGTCAGGCAAGGCGGGATAGAAATCGAAATAAATAAACAAACAGTACACAGAGGGGCTATGGCCTCCTGTGATTTCGCTGCTATGGCCCTCTTAATACAACCCAAGACTGAATTTGCCTGACTGCTCATATTCCGTTTACCGTCCACTCTTACCCCAAGATCTCTTCCACATATACTCCTCCCCGGAAACATATTCCCTCATCCAGTATCTGTGCTTGTTATTTTTGTGGCCCGGATGTAATACTGTGCATTTACTGTCATACTGTGTAATACTAAAATCCTTATGCTGTGGCTGCAGCTGCCGCTAAAGCAATTTTCAAAAACCTGCACAGCCAATCAGATCTCTCCAGTTGCCAATCAGAAACCCCTGCTGGGCAAAAGTCCCACCTGGCCCCGCCCACTTTCTCAAAACACTGGGTGGCGGGCCCCACGGAAGGTGTCCACGGCCCCAGGCTGGGAATCCTGTTCTGGAGAGCAGCTGAACTGGTGGGCAGGCTCATCGGGGAGCAAGCCCCTGCCTCAGCCCCATCCATAAATCGGGTGGATCCGGCAGGCAATTCACACACCACACACATGAAACTAGGACTGTTAACGCCTGCCGATGCTCACGCTTCCTTGAGGTCCTCCGGTACTGCGATGGTGAATTTGAAGAAGCTGCCTTTCGTGGCCACTTGGCTGGGGTTGACGGGCCGCAGTCTCTCCAGGGTGACGATTTCGTTGTAGATGGCGTCGCAAGCGGCGTATTCTATGACGTAGAACTACAAGAGAAAGCCGGGTGAAGGAAACAGTGGTGGCAGCAAGCCGGGGATGGAAAAGCAGGGGGAGGGAGCCGAAGGCCAAGAGAGCCTCTACGGGAAGGAGATTCTACTACCCACATGGCATCCATGAAGGGAAAATCCACGCTGAACCGTACTGGGGCCAGAGACCAATCTCTCCTCAAATGCCATTGTGGCGTCCTTGCTTATAGGAGAGACGGTTTTACCTTTAAACACGCTTTGTGCACCTAAACTTGGTAGATTTCTGCTGCCACCTGGAATTAAAAATTCCAAATCTTTCTCTGCTGGTAGAATGACCTAGGGTCTGGGCACTTCAGAGGACTATGTGGCCCTCCAGACTATTCTGATTTTTAAATAAAAATTGATTTATTTAATAAAGAACAAAATAGGTTTCTGGTTATTTCGAACTGTTACTGAAAAAAAGAACTTGTAAATATAACTGGCAAAACTTGGTGTTACAAACAGTCACTCAGACTTCACTCTGACAGGCATAGGCTCTCTCTCTCTCTCTCTCTCTCTCTCTCTCTCTCTCTCTCTCTCTCACACACACACACACACACACACACACACACACACACACACACACACATATATATGAATGAGAGAGAGAGAGAGAAAGATTATATATATCTGTCCAGCCAAACAGGCTAGTCTCCTTGTCTTATTCACCCAGAACAGAATCAGCATATGGAGCAGAGGTCCATCGGTGGGTATTAGCCACAAGGTATAGATAAGGACTCCAGGGCAAGTGATGCTCTGTATTCTTGGTGCTTGGGGGGGGGGGGGCAAATGGGGGGGGCGCCCCGGTTGTAGTGTCCTGGCCCCACTGCTGGACCTCCTGAGGGCACCTGGTATTTTTGGCCACTGTGTGACAGTGTTCGACTGGATGGGCCTTTGGCCTGATCCAACATTGGCTTCTCTTATGTTCTTATAGTCACTCAGACTAAACTGTTTGCCTTATTCACACAGAATAGAAGCAACATTCCATAGTCACACAGACCATGCTGTCTCTTCAAACTTCACACACAGAACTCTGTCATAAAAACATCTCTCCTCTCACACTCTCAGTCATCAGCCAGTCACATCACACTCATCTCCCCCTATCGCTCTCCTTACATTACTGCAGTCAAACTCAACATTTAAAGACACACACACACACACACCAAAACATGGAATCATTACAGCCATATTCTCCTCTTGCTCCAACCTGCGCACTGGGCAGTGCAGAATTCTGCCTGAGAGGGGTCTGTTTCTGCTAAGCAAGCCACACTGCTTGTGTCAAGGGGAACCTTCGGAGTAGGTTGTCCCCCTTACAGTGGGCAGCTGGGCTTTCTTGAGCCACCTGATATGTGTTTGGCCGCTGCAGGATCCCACCTGTTACCACTGCTTGCCTGTAACACCCCAGACTAGATTTTGCATCCTGATCTGCAAGCGCCAAAGCCCTGTGTGAACGGTGGCCAAAGAGGCCAGGGTGTCACACTCTAGTGAAAAGAGGAGGAATGCACATTCACTTCCTACTGTGTGAGCCAGGGAAGATTTGGGGGGGGGGGGGGCACAAAAACTCACATCTCCTTTCATCATGCGGACTCTGGCCAACCACCAGCCACACGGCTCGTGCTCGTTGGCTCGGGAATAAACCTACAAAGAGGGAGAAAGAGCAGAGTTAGGGCCACCCCGATGGCTCCCTCTCCCAACCTCCCGAGGAAGACCCTGCTTACCTCCACCTCATCCCCTTCGGAAATCTCCTTGCTGTACTCCAGGGGTGGGGGCAGCCGCACATCGCCAAAGGGGATTTGCCTTTCGGGCTGCCAGCTGGGAGAAAGCACAGAGGGTTACTCTGGACAACAGTGAGACCAAGTGAGCACACAGAGGGCCCTGCTTGTTAAGTGATATACCCGAGAAGCCAGCAGTTAGGAATGGCTGCTTGGCGGGAACAATGCATCTGCCCTACCCCAACAGCTCGGAAGATCGGCACCTTCTCTCGTGACTCAGCAGCATTCAGCCAGCTGAAGAGAGTCCATGTGAATTCACCATGACAGGCATGACTCAGGCCTGTCGGGAGTTCAAGACGTGGGCCACACGGGTATCTGCGGATGTGTACCAATTGCCTTGGATCTTGCATTTTTGTTTCCAGACCTACAAGGAACTGGAAGCCAAAATAGGAACCCGGAGAGCACCTGGTCTTGTAAGTCTGGAAGCAAACGTAAGAACCTGCCCAAGACGCTGGAGCGCCACGGTCAGTCTGAGCAGGCAATACTGACGCTGGTGGACCAGGAGTCTCATTCATCAGAAGGCAGCATCACACGTGTGGGCTCAACAGAAGACGAGAGTGATTGGATTCATACCCCGCCCTTCACTCAGAGTCTCAGAGCGGCGTACAAACTCCTTTCCCTTCCCCTATGGCTTGTCCAAGAGGCAGGCTTGGAACCATTTTTACGCTGGTTTCCTGGAACCCAAACTACTTGGCCATGCCATTATGAGAAGCAATGGCCGCCTAAGATTGCATTTTCAGCTACTTTAGAATACTCCGTGTTACGGAAAACACAGGAGAGGGAAAAGTCTTAAACACAACCCTTCTTGCATGTACCAGCACAGATCTTTAGCTGACCACCGTCACGTGAAGCTGTTTGCTGAGTCAGGCAGCCTGTACATTTAGCTCAGTCTTGCCTGCTCGGACCGGCAGTGGCTCTGCAGGGTCTCGAGGCAGAGAACGGCCCGGTCCTCCCCAGCAACTGTGAGACTCTTTGTCTGAAATGCTGAGAATTCACTCTGGGACCTTCGGCACAGGCAAAGCAGGGGCTCCTCCTCCCTCAGCTTCATTTGCTAGAGGGAGAGCTGCCACAGTGATCCCTTCCAGAGGGGAAAACTATTTACCAGCCCTGAACATAAAACTGAAAAGCAGCACCCTCCCTCGACACTTGGGGCAGGGAAGTGGAAGACAGTTTAACGGCCCACAAGTGAGGATAAAAGTGGTCATTTGAGCTTCAAGTTTTAGTTGACTAAGCATACCATTCAGTGGGTGACCACGTAACCTGCAAGAACTGCAGGGCCCGGAGGGTGCCTGCAGCTACGGAGAGGGAGCCCGTGTGCCACTCAAGGAAACTGATGCCAGCCACCTTCCTCAAAGAGAGACAGGAAGGATGGCTTGGAGACCTGAAGAAGGAATGGAGACGTATCTCGAGGGTTCCACGGAACCTTGTGGGTGCTTACAGCGTGTGCCATGGGCCCTCTGGCTGGAAGCCCGGCTCCCACGGACCAGGGAATGGCTCAGGGAACTGACCAAGGTGCTGCAAGACAGCCTCCAGAGCAGCCAGCGTGCCGGCAAAAGAGCAGGCAGGCAGGCATGGCTGCAGGCGGGTTTCCAGTGAACAGGGCCCAGGGAGGGAGAATGCCAGCACAGCAGGCACCTGCTCAGGCCAGGGAGGGACTGACGCACAAACTCGACCAGCGACAGGCTTGCCCCCGAAACTCCGGGGGCCACAGAGCGGTGGTTTGGCTGCGGCATGGGCAGGAGGCCAGGAGAGCTTTACCCCCACAGTTGTTGCCCCCGGCTTCCTTCGTGCTTCAACTGTGGAGGAAGGGCCTTTTCAAGCAGCTCATTTTTAAAAAAAAAACTTCCCCATTTCTGACTTGTCGATTCAGGGTTTTGGGCCAGGTCATTCCCCCCTTGCCCCCAGAAGCAACATTTTTTAAATGCTGCTCACAAGTTCCAAGATACTGGCCCTGAGGGAAGACCCAAGACTACTGGGGTAGAGGCTACACTGACATATCCCCACCCCCCCAGTGTCATATGATTCCTGCAGGAAGAGGGGGAGAGACCTGTAGCTCACGAAGCCGTTACACGCAGCCCCTGCCAAGACCCCTGACCAGCAGCTTCTTTTCCCTCTCGTGCCCCCACCCCCACCCCAAGGCCTGTCTCATAACAGGAATAACAAGGAAAAGCCCTGCAGCCAGGACGGAAAGAGCCACCCTCGTTTGCCTCCCAGCAGCTAGACCAAGAAGAAGGAATCGGCACGTGCACATGGAAGTTACGCTGGCTACAAGAACATCCCAACAGGCAGCAGGACGTTCACAGTGAGCCAACACAGACCCATCATCTTCAGCTGGCCAGGACAACAGGTGGGGCTCAGCTGCCTAGTCTGGATCAGCACCGCCTGCTAGTGAATCAAGCCCAGCCCCGCAGCTGCAGACGACGGTTAGATGGGCAGGCACCTGGGGGCTTCCCTCAAGCCGGAGGAACAGCTATAGCTGGCTGGTTCCAGCAGCCGGGGAGCAGCCAGCTTTGTGCATGAGGGGAATGGGATCTGGCAAGGAGCGGGAGATGCTGCGAGGCGCAACTTCCCCAAAAAGAAGGACAGAGGCCCCAGGCCGTGGGCCCCTTCCTGCCCAGCTCCAGCAGCAGTCAGGCAGAAGTGAGGAATGTAAACTAGGAGGGGAAACGGAAGCCAGGGAACTGGGACACAGCTAACAGCCCCCTCGGGGTTCAAAATGTTCCAAACTGACAGGTGCCAGCCTGTTTCTAAAGAGTCAGCCTCAAACTGAAGAGGCTGCGAACTTTCTAGATACCACACAACTTACGAGGTGTTTCCTGTCACACTCTGAGGACCTTGTGGGGGTTTAAGTGGGGTGGGGGTGCTGTGCCAGGACATCTAAGTTTGACCAGAACTGGCACAGCGACTGAGCACCTGAACCATTTCTTTTAAGAGCTCAGGAGCAGCCATTCCCAGTTCTTCCAGAGGCTCTCTGAAAGCAAATGTCCAGGCCTCGGCCCTACATTTGTTGTTGTTGTTGTTTTTACACCCCACTCTTCTCTATCCGAAGGAGTCTCAGAATAGCTTGCAATCACCTTCCCTTCCTCTCCCCACAACAGACATCCTGTGAGCAGTGTTCCCTCTAAGCTGAGTTAGCGTGAGCTAGCTCACAGTTTTTTAGCCTCCGGCTCACACATTTTTGCCTTAGCTCAGGAAGGAGGGCTCTGGAGCAAACTAATTTATGCAGCAGCCAAATCGCTCACTCACAGCTTTAATGCCAGTAGCGCACAAAGTAGAATTTTTGCTCACAAGACTCCACAGCTTAGAGGGAGCATTGCCTGTGAGGCAGGTGAGGCTGAGAGAACTCTGAGAGAACTGTGACTGACCCAAGGTCACCCAGCTGGCTTCATGTGGAGGTGGAGCGGGGAATCAAACCCAGCTATCCAGATTAGAGTCTGCCACTCTTAGCCACTACACTGAACTGGCTTAACCACTACACCAAAATGGCACAGGGCACGCACTCGCCCTTCATCTCCAAGCACTCAATGACAAGGGGCGGGGTGTGGACTGGCAGGCCGCCTCCCCCGTGGGTACTCACTTGTTCTCGAAGGATATCGTGACTGAATCTTCATGAACATCTTTAACAAAACCCTGCGAGGGAAGGAACAGACAAGAGTTGTCACCACTTTAACACCACGGACAGCAACTGGCCAAAGCGCTGCCTGAGGCCAATGGCAAAATAAAGCTATTGCACCCTGGGAAGACAAGACGTCTGGTACCCAGTGTCAAACAGCACTGCAGAGGACAGACCCTGAGCAAAACACAGAACAATGGACACCCCTGTGTGTCAGAGTAACAGCACAGGTACAACTGGACCGGAACGCCTGGAAGCATCCTAGAGACACCAGCCCTTAGGACCAGTTCCTCAAGGCGTGAGACGTCCTGTGCCACAACAGGGGGACGACAGCTGAGAACACAACGCAGATTCAGAACAGGGTCCTTCCTGTCTCAGGAGAGGGTTTCCAGGAAGCACACACCCTTCTCCCACGCTCCGTGTCTTATTGGCCATCTAAAATGCATGCCCTACCAGACCGACCAGAGGACTCTAGTCGACCTTCAAAGAGCTCACCCAGGGCACCTTGCAGGTGTGTCCCAAGCAGGCCAGACTTGTTTTGCTCCTGTTGCAGAAGAGCATGGGCCACTTCTTCCCGTCCAGGGGAGAAAGCCAGCAGCACCGCCCTGCCCAGTGTATGGCCAAGTTAAAGCGAGGTGGGGCTCCTCGCACAGACGGAAGGGTCAGGAGTAAGCAGAGCCAGAGCCTGGCTGGTTTCGCAGTGCAGCCCTTGGGATAAACGGTAGCAGCACATGCGCTTCACCAGGGACAACTTTTGGGATTGCTCAAAAACAGAGATCAGGGAAGAACCTGTTAGAGACTGCAGCGAGGATCGGCTTGGTGACTCAACACTGCAAGGTAACATTTGAGAGTGTTGTGGGGGGGGGGGGTGTTCAGTGCTGTTCGATGCAAGTCCTGCAAAGATCAATAACGTACTGCTACCCCACCACCTTGCCCAAAGGATGAAGGGCTACACAGCCCGTGTCTCTATGGTATGGCCGTTTCTGGACACATTCTTGGCCGCAAAGAGCCACCCCTTCTCCCTTCACAAAGCTACCAGCACTGGACTTCAGTCTGCGGCACTGCCAGGGGAAGAGGGGCAGCTGCAGGGTGACCGACTGCAGAGCGAGGGGGGAGGAAAAGGCTGGGAGGCACAAACGTGTCCACAGTTCAGAACGTGACGCGCCCAGGGCAGAATGTCCCGCCTGTCCAGAAGGGGTGCCAAGAGGAACAGCTGAAGAAGCCTCCCTAGGCAGCTGCCCACCACCAGGGAACAGCCAGGGCTTCCCGCTTGGGCCCTGCCCCTTCCACCACAAGCAGCCTCTCGGCCGGGTCTGCCGCAGAAGGAGCAACAGAGCCTGGCAAAGGAGAGAGGACACCACCACTCAGCTCAAGAGCTCTCTGCGGCTGGAGGGAGGGACAGTGGCTGGCCGACCCCCCTTCTACAACACCTGTGACCACATGGAAGCGACGGGATCTTGACTGAGCACCAGTCTGGGCAGGTTGTCACTGCCTGAGCACTCCCTGCCACAGTCTAAATTTTGCCTCCAGCCCATCAACCAAAGTAGAGCACACAAACTTCAATACCCTCCATGTCTCCCATCGTCTACAAAGGTTACGAACCAGGCTGGGTAAAGGCCGGACTCTGCCCCATACCCCCCCCCTGCACACACACACTCAGAAACAGATCGTGCAGTAAGTTAATATTTCAGCAATGCAGAGGGTGCCAGAGAAGCGCCACCCTGCAAGGCCCCCGCAACTGTGATAGAACGAGTGGTATCAAAGACCCTGGGAAGCTCTGCCAACACAACCTCTCCCCGCCAGCCCTCTCAAGGAGCCCACAGGGCTGGAAGCTTCCCCCTTTCAAGTGCTGCCGTGCCGGAGGCTATATGTGTCTCTGGGCCAGGCAGCAAAGAGCGTCTCATTTATCATTCATTCAGCACGGACCAGATCAGCCCCTTCTTCGTTCCACTCGGCCAGCACACGGGGACATTTATATCTCCCGACTCTCCACCCTCAAAGCCGCCCAATCTGCCCCCCTGGCTTCTACTGCCGGTGCTAAAATAAAACTGCTGTGTGTGATCTTTGCTGTGTTAAGAGTTTCCAGCCCAGCTCTGGTTCATCTGCAGCCCCACAGGTGTGGGACCCAGGAATCCACAAGTGATCGTTTACTTCACAGTACAAAACAGCTCCCGTTAGCTCTTACATAATATATAAAGCTTTTTTAAAAAAACACACACACACAATATTGTTCCAACAACACCAGTCAGGAATGCGCATTCACAGCTCTGCCTAAGTGCATGGAAAGAAAAACATTTCTAGCTCCTGAGTATTTTAAACCCTGTTCCTCTTGGCCACCGCTTGAGAGGCGCTCCAGGCTGAGTACATTGGTACCACTCTCGACTTGCACGATCCAGCAATTAGAATGACTGGGACCTGGATTCTAATCCTCACTCTGCTATGAAGCTGAGAGACCTCAAGCCAATCACTTTCTCACACTATCCTCTTTCACATGGCTGTGAAAACAACACAGGAGGAAGCGGAGGACCAAACATCCCTCCCCAAGCTCCTTGGAGGAAAACTGGGATAAAAATGTAGAGTGTGATAATAACCAGAAATACCCGCTCACACGGCCACTTGCCACTAATGCGACAAACTCCTGCAAGAAGACCAAACCTGATTCCTTTACATCACACAGAGTTAACATTCTTCTCATTTACTCCCTGGAAAACACAAGTGCAACCAACTAAAGGGAAAAAAATCCACCCTGGAACGATCACCAGCCATTCCACAAGGGACTGCTTGTAGAACTCAGCAGCCTGGAACTCAGTAAACTTTGACTTTGGAACTGTCTTATCTTTCTCGGTTAAGACATTTTTTAAAATTCCAAGAAAATATCTTTGAGAGGGCTCAAGAAGACACAAAATCAGTAGACTGGTGGCTGATACCGAGGAGGCCAGAGATGGGACTGCAGTGGGCAAAGAACAGTGCAGGCTCTGCAGAGGCAGCCGTGGAGACTCAATCTGGGCAGAGTGAAGTGGATAGTTCCTCCTGGGAGTTAGCATATTCCTCCTCTGGAGTGGAACTACAAGCCACCACCTCTCTCCCATACACAGGCAAACTTACGGCTGAGCGAGAGCGGCACTCTTCCTCTCGGCCCAACCTACTGCCCGGCAAGCTCTCTGGAGCAGACACACCAAGAGCGGCAGCCTGTTGAGCAGCTGCACCCCAGAGCAGACAAAGACAAGGAGTCGGGGGGGGGGCAGTTTCGGGAGCATGGAATCCTCAGCAGGGCAGACCAGAATGAGAGCGAGACCGCTGCATGGATACAGTTAACAGACCTGGGGAAATCCAAAGGCCCATCACTGGTGCCCACAGAACTAGGTTTGTGTCCCCGCCCCCCCCAGTACAAGACTGGCACTGGCAAACCACTGTTCTTCCCTGCATTCATTACCACGGCTTACTCATTGCAGGGCACACGACATATGTATATGCGTGTGCGTGCTGGGGGGGGGGGTCTTTGCTGGTGACACTTTTGTTTGGCAGGATGGGTTATAAGCCTAAGTATCATTTCACCAGGTAGCCGTGCTGGTCCACAGTAGAACAGCAATTTGACAGCAGTCGCACTCGAGCGACCAGCAAGATTTTGAGGGTCTATGGTCCATGGGGTCGCAAAGAGTCAGACTTGACTGTGCGACTGAACAACAAGCCTCTGAGAGTCAAAGCGTCATATCTTACAGACCCTGAAGATGTTGTTAGTCCCCAAGGGGCTTCTGGACTTGAATCTAGAAGCTGAAGCATAAATTATTTCATAAGAAGTCTGTGAAGACGCCACAGCACAAAGCATGCAAAGAGGCCGAAAATAACCTGCTCCAAGCTAGGAGCCAAGATTAGCCTTCAGAGGCTCCTGTCCCTTTGATTCATGGCCATCCTCATGGAAGGTACTGGCTGGTGTGACTCCATTCTGAGGTCAGGGGTCTAAAATTAGCCGTCAAAAACAATACCCTCCATCCCCACCTCGAGGCCTGGGTCAGGTTACCAAATTCCCCCGAGCTTACCCAATGAGCCACCTCTTCTCACTGACGCATGCTTGTCGGTCTGCTACGGCACCACAGAAGACGTTTATGAACACAGTCTCTCCATGTACAACCCACCCAAGTTTTACAGAATCGTACATGTCCTCCTTGACATCATTTCTAGAATTTTAACTCTCCCCCCACCCCCCGTATCTGAGGAAGCCACTTTTCCACTGTTCTCTTAATAACAACCATGAACAAAGCATGATCGTTCCTGCTATGCTGGGGGGCATTACTGACAAGTGACGGGCCACTCAAAAGGAAGTCCTCCAGTTCTGACCTCCTGCCAGTGAGGGGAGAATCTGCAGTGTCCAAGGCTGAAAAGCAGGAGCTGCCTAGTCAATCAGGTGGAACAGCTTTAGAGATCTTTGTTGTCAGGAGTGCTGATGGAGGTACCGACATTACCTGTGAAAGCCAGGTCTTCCCACAACTAAGAATGGCGGTGGAAAGATTCACGTGCCATCGAGTCGCCACTGACTTATGGGCAAACCCTCCTGGGGTTTTCAAGGCAGGAGACCAACAGAGGTGGTTTGCCATTGTCTTCCTCCGGGTCATAGCCCTGGACTTCCCTGGTGGTCTCCCATCCAAAATAAGAACCTGTTTAGCTTCCCAGATCAGGCTAGCCTGGGCCACAACTAAAAATAAGCTCTCTGAGGAGACGTCAACTGATAGAGATCGAGTGTTCAGCAGAGCAGGAAGCCACTACCCATGGAGTTGGGTTCAAATCTCAGCTCGACTCAAGACTCATTGGACGGGTCTGTGTAATCGGAGTGGTTTTGAGCCAGTCATTCGCCCTCAGCCTAACTGACCTCACAGGGTTGTGATATGGAATAAATGGGATCACCACCTCCACGTACAGTTGACTCATGAGAGAAAGAGTGGAAATGTACATGTGAAGGCATGACCTAACACCACCTGTCACTTGAAGATTCAAGCGTAACTTTTTGCTATTCGGCAG